GAACAGGCTTGGGTCCTTGGAGGCCTCTCTCTCTCTCTCTCTCTCTCTCTCTCTCTCTCTCTCTCTCTCTCTCTCTCTCTCTCTCTCTCTCTCTCTCTCTCTCTCTCATTCTCTAATTTGTATCCATTTTGCCCACAATTATCCTCATCATCGTGAGTGTGTATATAAATGTGTGTATGTAAACAAACAAAAGAAAAATATATTGATATGTGTGTGTACGTATGTATGTGTATGTTTGTGTGTCTGCCTAATTGTCTGCGCATGTACATGAGCTCTTTCCTTCATAGTGCTTCTGTACAGTTCCTCTCTCTCTCTCTCTCTATCTCTCTCTGTATGTGTGTGTGAACGGAAAATAATTTATGAAATCTTTCAATCCTTAAAACTTCCCATAAGTTTCATAGTTCCTCTCTCTCTCTCTCTCTCTCTCTCTCTCTCTCTCTCTCTCTCTCTCTCTCTCTCTCTCTCTCTCTCTCTCTCTCTCTCTCTCTCTCTCTCTGTGTGTGTGTGTGTGTGTGTGTGTGTGTGAACGGAAAATAATTTATGAAATCTTTCAATCCTTAAAACCTCCCATAAGTTTCATAATTTTCAATTTCAACTCGCGTTTTAGAACTAAAAGTTGTGCAATGTTTGCTAACACGGCAAAATTTAAAGTATTTGATCACGTATCGAACAAGTATTATGCAGAGGGAAGCCTGACGTGACTATTCCCTATATATGAAGGGAATATATATTAGTTTGCCATTTTATATACTGTTTTGTTTAAAATTATTAGGAATTGTAGATATTTGATTGTTAGTTTCAAAGCGGGAAATTATATTTAGCCAATATTCCTCATAAAGCAAGTTTTCAAGATCACACTCCCATAACTGAAGTGTAACTCAATAACATTAGTTTACGTCACTAATGTCATGTGATAAGAATGGAATAATGCATTTAATTATATTTGCATCCATGTTTAGTTCGTAGATATTTCCCGAGAGAGGAATCTTTCTCGAAATATCTATCGATTGGAATGATTTTAGTCCCGCACATTCTGGAAGCTTCAGAATGCGGTGCCACCACGCCGCGTCCGATTCGCCTCACGGGGATAAAACTTCCACGTCTCTTTTGGTTGAATTTTCCAAATCTGGACAGAATAATTGACGCACTGGTATATATAATAGCTCAATTCATCCAAATAAAGCAAGGAAAGGCCTCATTTCTTTGCTATTTAAAGAAATCCGAGAAAATCACGGAAACGCCACCGACACGCGGGTCCGGACGAAACAAAAGACGGTCCAGCCGAGAGGACTTCGAACCCCTATAAGAGCATCCGATCTCCTCCGGGGCGTGGAGTCAAACCTCGCTCTCGATCCCCTTCCTCCTCACGCCAGTTATTTACGCGAACAAACGCCAAACACCATGTCAACCACACAGTGAGTTCCCTTTTTCTCGTGTTTTATTCCCGTTCCTTGTTATTAGAGTGAATTTGGGTAACGTGTCGAGCCGCGAGAGGGAGGAGAAGAGGGTGGATAGAGTGGATAATCGTGGTAAAATAGGAGAAGAGGGGAAAGAGGAGGAGCAGAGGCGGAAGGGGTGGCGGCGCCGGCGAGCAAGCGTGTTCGGTGCCGCCGGAACTCGCGTTAAAATTCTCACCGAAGGAGTGTCTGATTCGGCAAACAATGGCGATTTTAGTGTCTTGGAGACCAGTTAGGATATCGACATTTCGTGGAGAGTTGCCATTTTCCATGTTTGTTGGAAAATGAGAAAATTTTCATTCATGGATTTCGCCCTCTGTGAATGAAGGCGCGTTGTCGAGCAATTAAACGTAATGATATTGGCATTTGGTGATGGAACAGCTGTTTAGTGTGAGGGAGAGTGTCGTGTGAAGGGATGTAGTATTATGCCCAAGGGTGTGTGGCTGTGTCATGCTGTGTCATAGGTCTGTGTTGGAAGAGTTTGAAGGAGACACTTTTCTAAAATGGAGAGTCTTTGTTTACTGCTTCTAATTCTCTGACTGTTGTGTCTGGGGAGGTGGATTTTGTACAGTTCATCTCTGAGATTCCTGGGAAACGGCCAGAAGCTTGTATTATTTCTTGGTTTATAGCAGTGACTGTCAGTTTGCATCATGTTTGGTAGACTCATTTTTTCCTCCTGTTTCAATGGGTTTGTTTGTTGGGAAATAGAAACCGCTTGCCAGAAAAAAAGTAATATTTGTTTGTTGGGAAATAGAAACCGCTTGCCAGAAAAAAAGTAATATTTGTTTGTTGGGAAATAGAAACCGCTTGCCAGAAAAAAAGTAATATTTGTTTGTTGGGAAATAGAAACCGCTTGCCAGAAAAAAGTAATATTTAAGACAGCATAAACTTCACAAAATTTATGATTATAGGTTCTTTGAACTATACATATAGATTTACTTGTAACTTGTGAACTAAGCTTTGTATTAGCATGTTCATATGTGGATGACTTATATCCTCAATTGATAATGACCAACAGTATGACACTGCAAAGTTGGACGAAAATAAAGGACACTGATTCTATAGAGAAAGTGTTGCTATTACTAAAGTTTGGTTGTCCTTAGTGTGCTTGTGATGTCTGATGTCCAGATATTAGAGGTTTAGTCCCAATTTAGTATATGCCCAGAAATAGACCATTTAATTGGTATTGTAAGGGCATAAAGTTGAAAGTAAGAGATGGTTTGTAGACAATCCAGTAGCAGTGTAAAAGTTCCTGTGTGTGAATTCCTAGTAATGGGAAGAGTAGTAAGTGACAGGAAAACATTAACATAGTAATATCTGGAGAATTAAATTTTGCTATAATATGTAATTCTGATTTATTGATCTTTCTTTGGCATGCCAGTAGGCATAGGGGTCATTCTAGTTATTTGACTCAGATTACTGCTAACATGGTTACCTCCCTCTCCCCACTTGTTTAGGGAATAAATAAAAGGTAGGAAAGGTTAGGTTAAGATTTTTAGGGTATATCAAAATTATGCAGCAGAAACCCCCCATTACCCAATGGGGTAATGGCAGAAGATAGCTGCTCTCAGAGGGCAGTTACCAAGGGAATTGCATGGTAAAATAGCAATAATATAAGAACACGGCATAGGTAATAACTAAATGCAGTTATTACCTATACCTCTGCATTAGACAGTAAAGTGAGTCATTATCTGTATTGTGTTCTTATGTTATTGTTATTTTACCCCAGATTTTCCCTGGTAAGTTTCATGCCTTCCCCTGCTATGTGGGTAAAGGAGTTTCTGCAGCATATTTGTGATGTACTAGGATAGTAGAGAGAGAGAGAGAGGGAGGAATCTATCAATACCATAATCCAAGAGCTTAGTTATGTGAAGGTATTCTGATTATTGTTAATTAAATTTTCCAATGTAACTGCTATGCTCAGATGATATGAGAAGGTGGATCAATATCAAATGATGCATTGTTTTTGACTATTAGGTTCTATAGATCACCTCCCCCCCCCCCTGTGCTAGATATAGTTAAGGTCATTGTCACTCATATGACACCAGAGAGGTTCAAACTCCCAAGCACAAGATTAGTACGCAGACCAATCTCTCTCTTTCTCTTTCTCTTTCCTAATCCCTCCTCTCTTCTCCCTCTCCCCTCCCTCTCCCCTCCCCCTACTGCCCTCCCTCTCCCCTCCCCCTACTGCCCTCCCTCTCCCCTCCCCCTACTGCCCTCCCTCTCCCCTCCCCCTACTGCCCTCCTCTCCCCTCCCCCTACTGCCCTCCCTCTCCCCTCCCTCTCTATCCTCCCTCTCCCCTCCCTCTCCCTCCCTCCCTCCCCTACTGCCCTCCCTCTCCCCTCCCTCTCCCCTCCCCCTACTGCCCTCCCTCTCCCCTCCCCTCCCTCTCCCCTCCCCCTACTGCCCTCCCTCTCCCCTCCCTCTCTATCCTCCCTCTCCCCTCCCTCTCTGTCCTCCCTCTCCCCTCCCCCTCTGCCCTCCCTCTCCCCTCCCCCTCTGCCCTCCCTCTCCCCTCCCTCTCCCCTCCCCCCTCTGCCCTCCCTCTCCCCTCCCCCCTCTGCCCTCCCTCTCCCCACCCACTCCCATCCCCTTTGCTCTCCCTCTCCCCACCCACTCCCATCCCCTTTGCTCTCCCTCTCCCCACCCACTCCCATCCCCTTTGCTCTCCCTCTCCCCACCCACTCCCATCCCCTTTGCTCTCCCTCTCCCCACCCACTCCTATCCCCTTTGCTCTCCCTCTCCCCACCCACTCCTATCCCCTTTGCTCTCCCTCTCCCCACCCACTCCCATCCCCTTTGCTCTCCCTCTCCCCACCCACTCCCATCCCCTTTGCTCTCCCTCTCCCCACCCACTCCCATCCCCTTTGCTCTCCCTCTCCCCACCCACTCCCATCCCCTTTGCTCTCCCTCTCCCCACCCACTCCCATCCCCTTTGCTCTCCCTCTCCCCACCCACTCCCATCCCCTTTGCTCTCCCTCTCCCCACCCACTCCCATCCCCTTTGCTCTCCCTCTCCCCACCCACTCCCATCCCCTTTGCTCTCCCTCTCCCCTCTCCCCTCTCCCCTCTCTCTCCTCTCTCCTCTCCCCTCTCCCTCCTCTCTCCTCTCCCCTCTCCCTCCTCTCCCCTCTCCCTCCTCTCCCCTCTCCCCTCTCCCCTCTCCCTCCTCTCCCCTCTCCCTCCTCTCTCCTCTCCCCTCTCCCCTCTCCCCTCTCCCCTCTATCTCTCTCCCTCTGTCCTCCCCCCCTCTCTCTAACCCTTTGTCCCTTTCTCCCATTCCCCCTCCCTTGTTCTTCTTCATTCTCCTCCCTCCCTTGTTCTCTCTATATATCCCCTCCCCTCCCCTGTTTTCTCTTTCTCTCTCTCCTTTCTTTATTTCCTCTCCTTTCTCTCCTCTCTCCTTTCTTTCTCTTTCTTCTCCTTTCTTTCTCTTTCTTCTCCTTTCTTTCTCTTTCTTCTCCTTTCTTTCTCTTTCTTCTCCTTTCTTTCTCTTTCTTCTCCTTTCTCTCTCTTTCTTCTCCTTTCTCTCTCTTCTCCTCTC